CAAAACGCACAGGAGATCAGAATGTAGCTCATTCGGTCGGATCGCTCATTGCTCGGTCATTACAAACAAAAAAAGAACACACCATCACCTCAATGCTTTAAGGGCTAACGCATCAAGATTACTTGGATCAGTATTTTTTTAAATTTTTGCATCCTTCTTACCTTGCATTGCAATCATCTTCCTTCCTTCCTCTAGAAAGAGAACATCTTTCAACACATACCCTCTTGCAATATCTCTTCATTGGTCTTTTGGCCGCTGATAGGCGCCATAAGCCGCTTTCTAGGGTGGCTAATGTTGCTTTTACAGATTTAGGGAAGAGGCAGAGAATGCTTTTTCAGAGAGCGGAAGGTGAAATAAGACGGATGATGTTTAACTGGGCGGCCCTTCCTTCCTCTTTTTGCTTTTCCACCTGGTGTTGTGTCTGGGTTCAACAGTTTCAGTAGGCTGTCGGCTCAACAGTTTCAGTAGGTTTTAGGCTCAACAGTTTCAGTAGGCTTTCAAAACTCTACAAAACCCCGAAGAACCTGGGAGCAAATAGGATGATGAGATGGATGTGTACCCTTGGTTTGACAATAGTTCTTCTTTCAAAGGTGGTTAAGTTCTCATGACCCCACCACCACCATCACCGTCAAAAGCTCCCGGGGAACTGTACCTCTGTAATCAGGTTGCAATTTTTGCAGCACCCTCCTGAAACCAATTATTTCTAGGGCTTAGGGTCCTAGCATATACTGCGGTGAAATGAATCGTGGATGGTTTACGCACAACAAACATTTATTACAAAATCTGGCAACCATAAAGGTATAATTAGAGTATATAAGCAAGACATGCATGGCAAATTTATGAACAAAGCCTGCAACATCTGTTGATAGTCTTGTAAGATTCCCCCAGATCCCCATCTTGTCAGGTCAACATGCCCACGATGAGTATATGAAGCCTTTTCTCAGACTTCAGCTGTCTGAAAAAACCCAGCTTCTGTCTTTTTTCGGCTTAGTCCTGTTAGGCTTCAGGGAAGCATCCATGCCCCCTCTCCGGCCACCCACCCCAAATTTTGAGATGATTCTGGAAACTTGCACTGCAAAAGCAAGTTACTCCCATCCCAGTGGTATTAAAGAAGCCAACATCTAGGAGGGCTTTTTCTCCAGTGCTTCGGACACTATCTGCAGGGAATCAACGCTTTCTCCTGTCTGCTTTTCGGCATGTATTCTCCGACTCATGATTGAACAGCATTTCTGATTCATGCGCACTCAGGGAATGCTCGGCAAACGCCGCTCTGCCTGCATTGCCTTTCATGACGGGGCAAGGGGCTATATTTATGATTTAAATAAAAATCCGTCTTGAATGTAATGTTCCAGCTTCAGCATTTGCGTGAATCAGCGCCTAATAAAAATAATAAATCGTTTTCCTGGAAACACAGCCTGCTTGCTTCTGTTTGTGTGGTGTTACCAAATTGTACCCAATTGGTTGCAAGAGTCCAGTGGTGTTTTGCTTTGTTTTTTCAAGAAAAGGAAGATTGTCATTTTACTTTCCTGGATGCAACCCTCTGTCCACGCTGTCGACAGGCTGCAGGCGGCTGGGCTTGTTGGACAGGCAGGAGATGCAAAACTTTGCCCCCTTGCGACTGAGCGACGGGGCAGAGACCTAATTCATTCATTGCCCATCGCCAGCCGAGGTCTGAAATGCAAAATCTGGTTGCAAGAATTTCAGGACTGGACACGCGCCGTCTGGAAGGAATAAGATGCTAGAATCGCGGAGTTGGAAGGGGCCTCTGAGGCCATCAGGTTCAACCCCCTGCTCAAGGCAGGAATCCCGATCCAAGCAGATGAGACAGAAAACGGCCCAGTTCTTCGCTGGAATGCCTGCATAGCGCTGTAGCGCTCACCACTTATTGTTTAAAAAGAACCTTTTTTAAAAAAAAAATGCACAGAACGGCAATGGATCTCTCTCAAGGGGGAAGAAGGACCACTCAGGGACCCATGTGCCGCTGAGTTGGCTGGGCTCCTAACTGTGGATGATGGGTAACTAATTTCACCCAGTCTTAGAGCTTTAAATCAGGTGTCAGCTAGGCAGTCCTCCCAAAGAAGAGATTGCCTTTGCAGTGGAGGACTGCCCTCCCTAAAAGAGGCCACGTGGCCACCATACCTCCCCCATCCCCACCCCAAAGGACCTCTATGGGGCAAATTCTCTTCCTGTTCTAATAAAACAGATTCCTGCCCCCCCTCAAAGCTGCACAGCAAATAACATGGCTGTGAAACCAGGAAGCTCCCCTTGCCCACGGAGGCAGGCCTCTCTTCACTCTTTCCTAGCTCTACGTTTGGGACGGCGCGCGCGCGCGCGAGAGAGAATGTTCCTCCCAAGGGCCGGCGCACCAGAGAGGCGGCTGGACCGGAGCGCCCGGAAGTGACGTCACCTCGAAAGCCCGGGCGCGGGAATCGAAACAGGCGGGGCGGGGCGGAGGTGCAAGGCGTGTCGTCGCAAGCGAGGGACGGACGGAGGCGGTGGGGACGGGCGTTGGCCCCCCCGGGGACAGGGGGGGGGAGGTGGAGGGGGTCGAGGTGGCCCCTCCGGGCCCCAGAGCTTGGAAATCCCGAAAAGGGGGGGGGACCTTTGCCAGCCTGTGGCTTTGCTAGCTGGAGGCTTTCAGGCGCCCCCCCCCTCCTCGAAGTAATAGTTCTCAGCTTACAGGAGTGCTGTTGGGGGAACATGGGAGTTGTAGTCCAGGGGAAAAAAAGAGAGAGAAGTGTTTGCAAGCCAGGAGGTCGGGCTGATTAGGGAATTCTGGGAAATGTAGTCCAAAAAAACAACATGTTCCCCCCCCCCAAAGCCTTGGGCAGTGCTTTTATTTTTGGTGGGGGTGGATGGGAATGTTTCCCACTTCTGGGGAGAAAAGTCACATTTTCTGGAGGCTGCCTCCCAGACACACACACACATACACACCCTGCGAGCGGGTGTCAGACCCAGAAAGATGCTGCTGAGCTGGAGGCGTTGCGGTCTACTTTGGTGTAAGCCGGCTGCCCATCTGTTGTTTGGCTCAGGACGGCTGGAGTTGCTCTCCTCCGGCCTTCGGTTTCTCTGCTTAACCTGTGTTGCCCGGTCGGTGACTGTGAATACAGAATGTTCACAGGGAGAGAACCAGCGTGTGCTGTTCTCTGTCTCCCCCACCACGGAAGCACGTGTGCAAACAAAACGTGAATCAAGCTGGGTTTTTTCGTACGTGCAAACCAGGTGCACGGTTGGTGTTTCTTGATCCCTTCGTCCCTGCACTCGTTAAAGCTTCTCTTTTGCAGACTTGAAGGCTTGAGGGGTCATTGTGCTTCCTGCATTGCCCCCCCCCAGTTCTCCCAGAAGATAGAAGCTGGTTGGAACTGGGCTGGTCTCTGTTTGTGCCTTGAGCTTTTTCTCTCTTGCTTTGTAGCCCACTTGCTTAAGGCTTCTCTGTCCGTAACACACTGCGGAGATGGACGGTCCAGAGGTGGATGATGTAGACAGAAAAGATTTCATTCCCCTGATTCCTGACGAACAAACCAAGAACTCTTTGGATGATTCTGTTGTGCTGGTCGAACGTTCAGGTATTTGCTGTGTGTTTTCTTTCCCAAAATGGAATGGAGACATCAAGATCCCCTTTGCTAAACTTTGCATCAAATCAAACCCTTCACAGGAAAGAAATGAAATAAAGATTTAGAGAGCTGCCTACATAGAGGTGCTTTTTAGACAAGAGTGGTTGGCTTGTGACTCGGTGATTGGTGATGCTGGAAAAGTCTGATGGGTGTTGTAGTCCAGCGTCTGGAGGGCCGGGAGTTGGCCACTTCTGCCTTAAAGCATTCTGGACATCCGGAATAAACATCACGTGGAACTGCCATGTGCGTCATCAATTACATGGTGTTGTTTTCGTGTGTATTCATCTATTTTCTTCTGCCAAACAGAAGCAGTCTTTTCGGTTGGACTCTCGGCCTGAAAATAAGACAGGCCTGTAGGCGAGCAGTGGCTTTAAGTGGACGCCTTTGTGTCCTTACCATGAAGCGATCCTCAGTGTGTTTGTCTTTTCCAGAAGAATTTCCCTCCAGTGAGAACTGGACCAATGAAGTTGTGGACGAGGAGTGCGAGTTGATGGTGACGTTCTGCAAGCGAGCGAAACTGATGCCCCACGCGAGATACGACTGCACGACCTTCCCCTTTGTGTACGTACCTGGGCTGGGGAGGAGGGCCAACCCCATCGTTCTGAGACAGTGTTCTTAAGACCAATAGGTTGAGGATTCTTCATTGTGTGCCCTTCCTTTTAATCTACCAGTGTTACAGAGCTAGAAGGGACTTAACGCTCATCTAACCCAACTCTCTTGCTCAGAAGCAGGATCTGACGTGATGACCAGCCATCTTTGATGGTACCCCTTCTGTTTCTCTGCTCATCGGGGACTATTTCTCTATTTGGTTGCCTGAGAAATGCCAGCACAGAAGTTGCAATCGGATGCTGGTGCATCTGTTGTTCTTGAAGAAGGCTTCCCGTTTCATGGCTTGGTTTTGTAGTCTCTTCTCTCTGCTTGCCTTTTGGGGTTGGACTAGATAGCCTTAGAGGCCCCTTCCGGCACCATGATTCTAGGACTTTGTTTTATCATTTTTCGTGTGCTGTTTGTTTGATCTGAGTTAAATATTTGTATACTTACTGTTTTTGGGCTTTAAAATACTGTCTTTTTAATGATGCGAGCCGCCTTGGGTCCTTTTTAAGGAGAAAGGTGAGATAGAAATATTTTAATGAAATAAGATCAAAAATCTTTCCAGGCGTGCCAAGTGTGAGACAAGATTTCCCATTGAAGTAAACGCACAGACGTGTGACGAGTGCTACTGTTATATATGCAACACACCGGTTGTGGAAGTAAGCAGGGGCTTCGGGATGTGAACCCTCTTTGGTCATCCCTGCTTTTGCGGGATGCTTTCTGCCTTCAGGTGGACTTCACCCCGAGCTTTTGAAATATGGTGGGAATGGGACACCAACCAGAGTCAACCGCCAGTGTTCCTTGCCGGTTGTTAAGCGTTCTGAAGATGGTGAGTGTGGTAATGCTGGATTTCCATCCCCCCCCCTCCTTACTCTAGTGCACATATTGGACGACTCCGTCCCTTTGCCACTGCAACGCACATAACAAGAGCCAGTATTGGAAGGATCTGTGGAAGTTCGGCTTCACCGGAGGCCTGGCCACGCTCAGCCTGGAGCTCGCCGAAATAGATGCGGATGTGAAGCGTGGAGGTGAGCGGATCGAGGTTGGCTTCAGGGGCTTCCGGGATTCATGGAGTCGAAGGCTGTTGGTTTCTTATCTCCGGACCTCATCGTCCTGCTAGGTTCCTCCGGGTAGCTTGGGTAGCTTGCGAAGGGTATTTCCATCCAGCTGGCCATCTGAATCCAGACGCCTGTAATGTGACCTTATTTGCAAAAGGCGTTGGAAGCCCCAGAACAGCAGAATTCTGGAATCATGGAGTCCGAATGGGGGGGGGCTTTCTAAGGCCATCAAGCCCCACCAAGCTCATGGCAGGAAAGCCAAATCCAAGCAGATCTGAGAAAGAGGGTGGTCCAGTTTTCCCGTGAAAAGGCCTCCTGCGTTGGAGCACTGCTCACCACCTCCCGAGGTTGTGGGTTCCATTGTCGCACTGCTCTAACAGTTAAGAAGTTTATTTTCCTGATATTCAACTGAATATTCAGTTAAGAGAGCATTGAACAAGCAACATTTCCACCACTGCCTATTCACTGTTTTACATTTCTTCTGCAAACGCATCAGCGAGTTTTCCCTTACCTAACTTGAAATCAAGCCAAGGCCTAGAAGGGGGGTTTTGAGATTTCAAGGGTTACGTCTTTTGCCTTATGGCACCAGCTTTCTATAGTTGGAGATTAAATAAATTGGATCTTAACAAATTAAATTACTGTATTTTTTGCACCATAAGACTCACTTTTTTCCCACAAAACAGGGGGGTGGACGGATCTTAACAAATTAAATTAGTTGGATTTAAAAAATACACTCCGATTTTCAGGGTTTCTCAGATTCTGAATGGCTGACAAAGCTGCTTCCTCTGAAGTAAAACTAGATGCCCTTTGGGCATGAGTGTGGATCAGAACTGCCTCTCTAAGAGTGTGTGCCTTTTCTCTGCATGAGTTCCTGTTGGGGAATGAGTTCCCTCTGTCAGCAAGTCATTTCTACCTCAGGAAGTGTATAGAGTGAGCCTTCCCACACCTGATGCGGAAACTAGCAAGCAAGAAGGCAGGCCAGCAAATCATACAGAGATGCGCAGGACAGACTCCTTGCAGGCAGACATTTCTGGTGTGCAGGCTCTGTTAATTCTCTTGTTAATTTTTGCAGCTTGGGTTTTAGGAATTGCAGTATTCAGATCTTGAGGCTGCTTATCAGGAACACCTCTTCTGTCATGCCCAAGTCGTAGCATCCTAAGGACATCCGCTTTCTGTCCTGCTCAGTTTGTGCCAGAGAGGAAATAAGTAGAAAACAGGTGCCAGCAAATAAACCTGAAGCTTCTTTTCCTCTTATCCTTTACCCTCTTTCTTTCACAGGGACGCTTCTCCAGAAATTCATGAACGACATATCCGTGGAATATAATCAGTACCTGATGGGCGAGAGAGTGTTCTCGGATTCCCACGAATGTTTCTGTTACCGAAATTTGGGGCCTGGCAAGTGTGATTTCTGCGCCCTCCACTCGCCTGTCATATACAGGTGACGCCCTGAGATGCCGTTTGGGAACCCCTGTTTGCGTGAGCATGTGGCCGGATCCTTTCTGTGTGTGTGTGTGTTTTTAAAATCTCACCTAAGAAAGGACCTGAGGAGAGTGAAATTGCATCTAGGGAGTAATTGTGCCATTTCTTGCTGTCAAAAATGGGAGGTGAGGTGCTCCTCGGAGGAGAGGAGAGACCCTTGAAGGCCCAACAGAGAGTAAAAAATGGTTTCAGATTCTCAAAATATTTTATTCTTTTCACATCAAATTTAGCCCTGGCTCACATACCCTGCCTTACTCAGGATTTCTCGGCTGTTCTTTTAACAGCTTGTTAATGCCTGACACTCTCTTCCTGTATTTTTCTAACTTAATTCCCTTCCTCCTGTAACCATTAGCCAAAAGAAAGGTTCAGCCTGAGTCTGTTTCCTCATTAAGGTTTTTCAGAGCTGGCTAAGGACAGCTTTCTGGTCCATTCGCGTTGGTGAAACAGGGTGGGAGACATTGAAAATGTCTGTCCCCGAAAAAACTGATGATTCGAATCCTAAAGCCTTTTGTGTTTTTCTTACATCTGACTTCCAGGAATTCTCTATTTTTCTCCATTTTTCTTCCCCCCCCCCCCTTTGGGTTTCTTCTGCCATGGCATGGAGTTTTTTCTATATTATCTGTGAAGTTGGTTGATCCATGAATATCTGCTCACATTTTGCCTAATCTCACCATGTACACGGTTGAAAACAATAATAATATTTCCCCCCCCTGTGCTCGAATCTACGATGCCAAATAACTTTTGCTTTTCCTAGGTATACCTCTGTTTCCAATCTTGTCACGGAATTTCTAAACCAGGCTGAAAAAGAGAAGCCCAAAACGGAGGCCATCGCCCTCCTGGGAGCAGCTCAGGAGATTGCACTACACAAGGATCCAGCTTCGTAAGTGACCCCGCAGGCTTGAGAGAGAGAGAGAGAGGTTTCTGTGGCTCTTAACGTGGAGAGTTGTCAGCCAAAAATGCTGAGCTGTCTGTTGACAGCCTAGTCTGCCCTGAGGCACTTAAGAACAGAGGAGCCCTGCTGGATCAGGCCAAGGGCCCATCTAGTCCAGCTTCCTGTGTCTCACCGTGGCCCCCACCAGATGCCTCTGGGAGCACACGAGACCACGAGATCCCTGTCTCCTGATCCCCCTCCCCTGCATCTGCCATTTTCCCTTCTCCGGCTCCTTACAATTCTGTGGAGTGCTAAGAAAAGGGAGGTAAAAATTGGCCACCTTTCCACTTCTGAGGGAACATTTGAGCAGGAAAACTTGTTTTGCTTGTCTGCAAGATAAACACGAAAGGCTGGAGAAGAATAACCTGATGTGTACTTCCTTTCTCTCCCCCCCCCCTCCCGCCGGCCAGCTACTCACAACATGTGGATCACGAGGCCTCCCTGATCAAGGCTGTTACATGCCTGATGGACAGGTAAGGTACCACTCGATCACTCCCCGGGCGTGTGCTGTTACGGATGTAATCTGTTTGGTTGTCATTTGAATGGATACGCTGTCACTCCACTGAGGTTGCCTGCTGGTGCAAAAAAGAGCAAAAGGTGTTTTAAGTCTTGATTTTTTTTACTTGCTGAAAGAGAGGACACACTTGCCTGTATCTTGATATCATGATAGTGCCCATTTTGCTGCTCCCTCAGAGGTGCGCCCAGCATTGCGGAGCAGAAGTGTTGTGATGTTAGGGTTGGGGGGAGGTTGGCATGATGTTGCCTGAAGGGGTCAGTGGGGAGGGACTTTATTTTCAGCGTCTGGCTGTTTAATGTTCTGGCTGAGACCTCAAACCCAACCCAACTCAAACCCAACTCAAATTTAACCCAACTCAAATTCAACCCAACTCAAATCCAACTCAAATTTAACCCAACTCAAGCCCAAGCCAGCTCAAATTCAACCCAACTCAAATTTAACCCAACTCAAACCCAACCCAACTCAAACCCAACCCAATCCAAATCAAATTTAACCCAACTCAAACCCAACGCAACCCAACTCAAATTCAACCCAACTCAAACCCAACGCAACCCAACTCAAATTCAACCCAACTCAAACCCAACGCAACCCAACTCAAATTCAACCCAACTCAAACCCAACGCAACCCAACTCAAATTCAACCCAACTCAAACCCAACGCAACCCAACTCAAATTCAACCCAACTCAAACCCAACGCAACCCAACTCAAATTCAACCCAACTCAAACCCAACGCAACCCAACTCAAATTCAACCCAACTCAAACCCAACGCAACCCAACTCAAATTCAACCCAACTCAAACCCAACGCAACCCAACTCAAATTCAACTCGACTCAAACCCAACTCAAATATAACCCAACTCAAATTCAACCCAATTCAAATCCAACCCAACTCAACCAAACCCCAACCTCAACCCAAGCCAAATTTCACTATACTAAACTAAGTTGCCAAGCTGGCCCTTGACCCTGCTGTTAACTTGGCAGAGATAATTCTTTCTCTTCTCCCCTCTGCCTGGAGCTTTGGAAATGAGAACACCAAGCCTCCAGTGATTTTCTAATTTTGGATTTTCTCATCACCTTTTGACACCAAACAGAAGCCTATTAAATTGTTTAATGAAAACTGGAACTTCAGTTCTTCTGGGAGATCTGTTGACCACTTCTCCCCGCTTCTAAATTTAGCACATCGTTCGCTCATCCTCATTTTGAATGACTTTGCAAGCCAGGGGCATGGCAGCTGCAGAGGTTAAATCCCCCGCAAAACATAACAGCCAGCAACTGTGTAACTTCAAAAGGGAAGATGGAAGATTCGGGCTCCACCCTCTTAGTCTGCCTAAACCGGGGATGAGCAAAACACAGCCCAGGACTTAAAGGCCTTCCTGGAAAAACTGTTTGTGCAGTGATGTGGCCACCTTTTGCTGACAAGATCGTGAACCTGTTGTTCTTGAACGCTTCCAGAAGTAGTAATTCACTCTTCAGAGAAGTGCCCCACTGGAGGAGACCAGGGCGAAGGGAAACCGGTGGTCTGAGCCTTGTCAGCTCCCACCTGTCCGTCCCCCCCGGTCCCACACCTGGTTCCTCCTCTTGAGGTTCAAGGGATCACCTTCTCCTGGTGGGGTTTGGCAAAGGTTCCCGTACAAGCAACTCAGCTGCTTTCGTTCAAGCCCTCCTTCAGAGTTTCCCCTGATGTTCCGCAGGATCACGAGACGACTTCAGAGGCTGCTGATTGCGAATGACTTCCCCATGCCTTTGCGGGATAAATTAACCAGAGTCTTCCGCTTGATTCCCTTCCCCATTCACTGCTACGGATTCATGGAGAGGTAGGTTTCCTCCAAGGGGTGCATTGCCTGTATCTGGACATTTCACAGTTTTTTAACAAATGGGTTAGGGATGCTGTGTTCCAAAACATCCCGTAAATACCTGATGTGGAAGAGAAATGGTTAAATGGCTTCCGAGGCTTTTAGCTAAAGGTCTTCCCAATCCTTGGGCGTTCCTCAACTAGATTTGTTTTTCTGCCCTCTCCGAGTACAACACAGCTGATCTGGGGAAGCCTTAGACTGTCTCCTTACAAAGGGAGCAGCATGAAAATTAAATTAGACACACACACCCCCCAAGCATATTCATCCAGGCAAAAATGCCACAGGTTTTTTTTTGGAAGGGTTTTCAGGTCTGTTTAAATTCACTCACTGGTTAAAATGTTTTGGCTTTCCTCTAAGTGGCATCAATGGGAAAAAAAACTGGGCCAAAAGCCGGAAGATCGGTTGCGTTTGATGGAATCCTGCTCACCAGCATCTGGGGAAGACGCTGGTCCTTGAAATGCTTTCCTCGTATATGCAGAATATCTTAGAATCCTAGAATCATGGATTTGGAAGGGGGCTGAAAGGCCATCGAGTCCAACCCCCTGCCTGATGTAGGAATCCAAATCCAAGCTGATCTGGCCCGAGGGTGGTCCAATGTTCTCTTGAAGGCCTCCATAGCGTTGGAGCCCTCACCACCTCCTTCTGAAGTCATGGGTTCCCTTGTCGTACCGCTCTGACAGTTACATCTTTCCTGATATTCAGCCGAAATCTGGCTTCCTGTCACTTGTGCTCATGATTGTGCGTCTGGCACTCTGGGATGATTGAGAACCGATCCTGCCCCTCTTCTGCAGGACTCCCTTTCAAGTCTTTGAAAAGTATTATCCTATCCCCCCTCAGTCTTCTTTTCCCAAGGCTCAGCCTGCCTGGATTTTGTCGTCTTTCCTCCTGGCGCTCGTTTTCTTTTGTACCTTTCCACCCAGGCTAGGAAACGGGGCTCCCGAAAACAGGCTCAGCATTTCGCCCCCAAATTGCCAGAGTTAGGATTAGCAGCCAGAAAAGTTCAGACAAACCTGTAGATACATAGTTTGTCCGTAGGGCGACTGTGCTAGCCTGTTGAAGACAGTAAAAAGTCTTGGGGTATCAAATAAAGTGTGTCATTCTCCAGGCATCACAAAGAGCTTTGTTTTTGTTTTTAAATAAATGCAATTACTCTGATGCAGAGCAAGGAAAAGTTAATTCCACGAACTCTGTGCATTCAACAACTTGGTCCCTTTTTTCAGTGTGAGTTCTCTCAACAGGGATCTGTATGGGAAAGAGGTGCAAACGTCCTGGCCCCACAGACATCCTGCTAAAAACTTGAGTAGCATCTTGGCTGTAATTATGCCGGTGTGCACGTGGCCCCTCTGGGTGGCTCAGGGACTACAGGAGAACGTACAGTTCCCGGCTTGGCGCCATCACTCCACTTCCCTCCTACCCTCTAAGATTGTGTCTTCCTTTTCCGTTTCAGCTTAGATTTCTTCACATGGAAACACGGCTTGCTGACCTCGGTCTTAAGGGGACATAACACCAACGGCTACAGGATTAGGAAGGGGAAGAAGGAGATTCTTTGCGAAACTTTACCGGTGATAGAGGCACGGATCGAGAGGCTGGAAGCCGACCGACAGTAAGCCCCCGGGGAGCGGTAGGAAAAAACGTCCAGGTGAAAGAACCGCCCTGCAAGGAAGGATCTATCCCAGAATTTGATTCCCTGAGTCTTGGACATCTTGAGCTGGAGGCCAGAATGGTCGCGGTGGAAATCTCCCCGGGGGGTCTGGTCCTCAGACGTGTACTGCCTCCAGAGGATTCACTCTTCTATAAATAAAATTTGTCTTTTTTCTTCTCAATAATAATAACCTGGGCCACAATTGTATCTTGTAGTAATAAACAGGCAGGGAAGTCTTTGAAGAATGAGGTACACAGTGTGTTTTAAGGTGCACTCCAACTGCAAGGATCAAACATTCCCCCCCTTCTTTCTCTTAAAAGCAAGTGAAGAATTTCAGGAACCTCTCTGGGGCCGGAAAATCCTGCCTGAGCTTTTTTTTTTTTTTTTTTTTGTGTTGCTGAGAGTTTTGCCTTGGTCGAGTGATGGTTCCTGTGTTGGGTCTCATCCTGGCATAAAGCCATGTCTGGAAGGGGGTGGTGGAGCATGGGCTCGTGTGCCCTGGACTGGCAGGTGGCTTTGGCCCATTCCTGCCTTAAAAGGACCCTGTTATCCATCAGAGCTCCTCCCCTGATGAACATCAGCCTGTGCCAGCCGATCCACCCAGGCTGGTCTATGGGGTAGCCACTCCGAGGTGGCCAACCTTCTTGGTGGCGACCCCCTGCATTGCAGCAACAGCTTCCCTATGGAGGTCCGTCATTCCCCCTCCCTCCCTCCGGGCCTTTTCTAAACTATTAAATGCCGTCTTCTTCCGTGAAGCCTTTAGAGATATTCTCCCTCTGCATTAAATATGAGCACTGTCAGCAGCAACACGCTGGGTTGGCGCTCGGCTTGATTGGGGCTTGTGGGAAGTTTATATTTGGGCTTAATGGTTTGGTTATCATTAAGCACCCAGAGCATGCATGGCACTAAATCAGGCAGTGTAGTAGGAACCCCCCCCCTTTATCCGCGGAATTGGTATCCGCCGATTCAGTTTTCCAAGATCTTGAAATATTAAAAACATGTATTTTAAAATCACATAAACACATGTTTCTGACAATGAAGTTACCAAAAACTGACTACTAGAGGAGCCGGAGAGCGCGCTGGGTACAGAATCCACTTTTATAATAGCGTTTGCTATCCACATTTTTCAGCATCCACGGGGAGGTCTCAGAACCGATCCCCCACAGATATGGGGATCCTACTGTAATCAAATGACTGAACTAAAGCAACATAACATGAATGTGTTGTCTTGTTCCCCCAGTTACAGCGAGCTGATCCGGTATTTGAAAGTGGTGAAATGCTACGATTTCGAAGGGTAAGTGACTTGTTTGGTTGCACGGGCCTCTTGGTGGATGAGAGGCTCATCTCTCCCTGGTGAAATCTCATTGAAATCTCACAACCGAAACTCTTTAAACCAGCAGTAGGAGAAAAGCCTCCCCATGCCCTTACGGCATAGACGGACAAGGCTTCGCCAACAGGTCTATCCAGCAGGGCTCCTGTATCTGTGGGATCCGAATCCTGTTACTCACTTGCCCGCATTCTGAAAATGTTAAAAATAGTAGAAGAAAAATCCTAGAAATAGATACTGTATTTTTTTCTGTGTATAGGACTATACTTTTGTCTAAAATCTTTAGAATTAAAAATTGATGGTCGTCTTATACACGGAAGTAAGCTGAGGAGGAAAAAAAACAAGTGGAGGGGAAAGCAGGGATCAAAGCGATCCTGCAGGGTTTTGATACCTGCTTTCCCCTCTACGTGCTAAACCTTAGCAAAGGAAAGCAGGGATCAAAGTGCTGCAGGATCGCTTTAATCTCTGCTTTCCTCTTTGCTTGCTAAGTCCCATGGGGCTTAGCAAAAGGAGGGGGGAAGTATCAAAGCAATCTCGTGGCTGTATAAGGGGGAAAGGGATCAAAATGATTGTACAGTCATGGAATTGGTTTGATCCCTTTCCCCCTCCTTTTGCTAAGTCACGCGAGGCTTAGCACAAAGGGAGAAAGCAGGGATCAAAGCCATCCTGCAGCATTTTCCCCTACGTTTGCTAAGCCCCACTTAGATTTCTTTATTTTGGGTTAGAAAAGTGGGGGATGTCTTATACATGGGGTGTTTTATACACAGAAAAATACGGTCTATTTCTAAATATGAGGTTACCAGAACTGGCCACTAGAGGCAGCTGGAGACCTTTCTGTGTATAACCTTCCCTGTTAAAACAGAGTTTGCTGTCATCTGCGTGTTTCAGCATCCGTGATAGTGGGGGGCTTGGAACCTATTGCTTGTCAATCAGGGGCCACGACTGTGCTTGAACATCCTGATGAAGCTCTTGTCTGTCAATAGAAGCATTCCTTCTTAAGCTTCCTTCTTGTTTTCTGCCCATGAATGTGTCCCTTGGCTTTGGAAGCCACCGTGTCTCTTTTGCCCTGCCCCAGGTTGCAGGAGAGGAGAGACCGGATCCCCTTCTACCTGTGCAAAATTGGGGAAATGGAGGAGGCCGCCAGGGCCCTCTTCGACACCTATGAAAGTTCCTGCTGCACCGCCTGCCGCCTCTCCGCGTTCCAGTTCGAGATCTACCTCAAGATGTTCCACACGGGACAGGTTCCCTCTGGGAGAGATCTGGAGAACGTTCCGCCGTGGACTTGGATAGGCGAGTAGACCTCAGGAGTTCAGTTTTTGGTTCTCCTGGAGAGACATCCCGATTTGGCCATTCTGTAGCGGTCTGATTTCGGACGTCTCTTCCTTCCTCTTCAGCTCCGCGTCTGAAGCTGCGCTCGAAGATCATATGGTTCTTGAAGCTCATATACAGCAGCCCCACCTTATATCAGAACGTGAGTCCTCGGCTGCTTCCCCTTCTCGATGTGATGATGAACTCTCAGGCGGCCCCCTTTTGCGGGTTGTCTGGCTGTGGATACTCCTCTATGGGTGGAGTCCTCAGTTCCTCTCCTCAGCTCTGTGGCGGATGGTTGGAGTAAATCCAATAAAAACTGTAAAGGTTGTGATGGGCAATACAGTAGGACATCCATATTTATGGAATCCGTATCCACCGTTTCACTTATCTGCAGACAATATTAAATGATTCAATTTATTAAATGAAAATATTAAATGAAAAAACAAACAAACCCAGAAATACCAATTTCCATGTACTGGCTATTAGAGGGAGCCAGAAACCATTCTATGTATAGGATTCTCTCTTATCCGCTGTTTCCAGTGTCCACGGGAGGCTTGGGACCCCAATTCCCCCGACGGATACCCAAGTCCTACCGTACTCTGCTCTTGGGCCGTGAGCGATTGTGAATTGTACGTGACTTTTTTTTTTTTAAAGACAAAAAGGGTTTGATTTCATAATTGTTCCTGTTGTCTTTCAGCCCAAATGCTGGAGTGCTATGATAAGGACTTTTAGCAGCCTTCCGTGCTTGAAAGCAAACGGCCAACTGAACTCCTGCTACATGAAGCCACCACCCCAGGATTTCCAGGATGTAATCTTGACAGTATTTGGGGTCTTGCGTTGAGGCTCAAGGTTGCGAGGGTTTTCAGAGATGCTCTTAGTAGGAAGAGAGGGCTTCCCAAAGTATGTATATTTCAGCCAGGATCTAGACAGCGTCCACCGAGAAACGGGATCCGTACCCTGTCCACCCAGAGGCCCAAATTCAGAGAACAGGGTTCTGGTTATTTGCTGTTTCTTTCTCCCCCAGATAAGTTGGGTCTTCTGGGTTGGGTCATGGGGGGGGGCGCGAGTCTTCCGATTTCCCCTCTGAATAGTCTGATGTGACTTAAATCCACAGTTGGTCTTCACAGAATCTGGCTTCATTCTGAACACGCTTACCACAAGCCCGAACTTTTTCATCTCAGAAATATTAGAGGACTACGTAAGTGCCCACTTACTCATTTGCTGGCTTCCTCCGTGGATCCATTACGTTTTATGAACCTCAACTCCCAGTAATTGCCGGTAGTTAGGGCTATAGAGCTAACGGCCGAGATCGTCTGGGAATTGAAGGGCAAACGACCGGGAGATAGGAGAGCACTCTTTGAAGACTGGAAAGATCATCCTACAGAGGAGGTTCAGGATCTGGAAGGGTTTCAGCCAGCCCAATCAGTACTCAATTAAGCCACTAAATACTTCATCTCTCTTTCTCTCTCTCTCTTTTCTCTACCTTCTCTCTGACGAGACATGAACGTTGGTTTTATTTTTGCCGTCCGGGCAGTACAGCAGATGGTTCTGACGGAATGTCGCTCCCTGAGCTCTTTCCTGGAAATCATATTAGCTTTTGGGGTAAGTCTCATGTTGGGATAGCAGATTTTTTTTTTCATGGTTCTCACTAGAAGGGAGGGAAAAAGCAGGATCAATACCATTTTTATTATTTTTTAATGTTCCCCGTTTTATATACAGTGGTGCCCCGCATAGCGACGTTAATCCGTTCCAGGATTAACGTCGCTATCCGGATTCGTCGCTATGCGGGGGGGAACCCCACTATGGGGGAAAAATTCAGCCATTTTGGGCAGCCATTTTGCAAACTGCCGATCAGCTGTTTTAAAAACATCGCAGTGCGATGTTTTACCTATTAAAACATCACAATGCGGGCGCATTAGCGATCACAAAAAATGTGTCGCTATGCGGATTCGTCGTTAAACAGTGCGCTAGTTAAGCGAGGCACCACTGTAAGCCCTTTTCTCTGGCCCAGGAAGACTTTGTCTTGGGTTCTGGATGGAAGCTCAGGATCTCAGAGCAAGTAACTTGTTGTGTGTCGAGAATCACATTATAGTGTCTCTTCTTGGCCGGTGCTGCTGCTGCTGTTCTTCTTACATGGCGTCAAGTCGATTCTGACTTAACGGTACAAAGAAGTGTCTGGATAATCGACATTTCAGTTCCGGGGGATGCCAGCATTGAAGTTAAAGAAGGGGGGGGGGAATTAACCAAATACAGAGACCTGTTCACGTCACGGCTGCGGTCAGATCTGAAATAAGGGCGTCCTCGGCTTCTGGCTGCAGCCTTTAGTCCTGTCACTAGCATTGCAGTGAAGACACTTCTTTCACGTTTAGCCAAAAGCTGCACATCCACCAATCCTGGGTGTGTATGTGTTGGAGAGATGTGTTCAACATGCAGCCACCTGCGCTCCCTTTTCTCCTCTTCCACAGAAAAACTTCTGGGCTTTGGAGCTCTTCCTGGAGTCTCTGGCTAAGCACAGGAAAGTCCTGAGCACCGTCCTCACCTTGATTTGCGATGACCTCCGCTGTGGTCAAGTGGAAATGTTGAAACTGTGAGTCGGTGTTCGTATAGCGCCCCGGCGTTGGTCCTGAGGCCGTCAGCTGCCCCGAAGTCCTAAAGGCAGGAAAGGCCAGCTGGAGGCAGGAAGCAGTTTTTCACCCCTAGCCATGTCACCGTGAGCCGTACCAGACCCAGGAATGCCCCGAATTTACCGAAGAGGGTGCAACGAAGGGGAGTGGGGGAGGACAGAGGGGAGGGGGTTAGGAAACCTTAAAACCTGCCTTGTGTTAAAACCGCAGTGCTTGGAGATTCTCGGTAAGGTAAAAACTTTGGCTGGGGTTGTAAGGGGGAAAAAAAATTCACAGGAATCCAGAAAAGAAACAACACCCCCTCCCCTTGGCCCAACCCTGTCTAGGTGGAACAAACAGGCCATGTCTCCTTTTGAACGTCCCCTACGGTAGCTCACCTTCCCCTGGTTTTGGAGGCTTATGTAGGATGCGGCGCGTATGTGCTGTCTCCCTGGAAGAAGCGTCAGGATTCAAAACGGCCCACCCGCACGGAAGCGGAGGGTTGATCCTGTTTTAATGGAATGCCCGTCCACGCCTCCGATGAGATTCCTGCCAGTTCGTGGCTGATCTCCACCGATGCCGCCTCTGGCTTTTAAGCAGGATTACGTAACTCCCAGCTGGCCAAGCAGGCAGGCGGGGGGGGGCTTATTTGTGGGGAAAGAACAGGGCTGTTTTCGTCCTGCTTTAACCCCTTCTGTTCCCGAGCAGGCCAGGCACCTGAGGTTTGGGTGGATCTGGGTGAGGAATTTTTCAGACAGAAGGGTGTCTTGCTTGTACTGATCCCTCTCCTTTCCACGTCGCTCAGGTGGGGACGCTTGGGCCCCGAATACGTGGGGGAACTGCTGTGCCTATTCTTGACATCCGTGTATAAAGATGTTGGCCTCACCATCATCCGTATTCTTCAGGCAAACTTTAAGCAGTAAGTGAGGCGTTCTGCCGGTGTCATAGCTGCGCTTTTATGTATTTATTCTGTGTATTTTACATCCTGCCCAAGCGCTACCTGCGGTTTACAGTCAAAAAGAATCCAAGCAATGCAATGCAGTTGGACCCCCTTATCTGCGGGATCAGTATCCACTGATCCACGTTCTGAAAATATGTAATATATTAAATGAAAAATCCCCCCAGCATATATATTTTAACAGCGAAGTTACCAGAATTGGCCACTAGGAGCCAGAGAACGTGCTAATGTATAGTGTTCACTATCATGCACGTTTTCCAGCATCCACAGGGTGGGTGTGTTTGGGGCTAGTCCCCCATGGATGCAAGAATCCTACTGCAGAACAGGACAGATCGTCCATAATAAAATTAAGGGGAAAAAACCCCACCAAAGTATAATTTAGTAAATCCAACATAGAACCTAAAATCGCGACCTACACAATGGCAGGAGAGGTGGCCTAAAGGTATCAAGGCTCCAGAAAACGCTGCTTTGTCTTGAGTGTCCTCTTGAAGGCTGGAAGGGAAGGGGCCTGGCCCGTCTCTTCCACGGGAGCCCTTCCATAAGGATGGTGCCACAACGTGGGGGGGGGTGTCTCAGGGGCCACCCTGGTGAACATTTGTGGGGTGGTGGAGGAGGAGAAAGATCATAGAATCGCAGAAAAGTGAAGCTGGAAAGGGGGCCTCTATGAGGCCATCCAGTCCAACCCCTCTGCTCAAGGCAGGGATCCGAATCCCACGCATATCCCAATGTGGAGTTAATAACAAGAGTAAAACTTGACCAGGTTGAGGTTGATCAGGCAGATGCAATAGCGAGGGGGCAGAGCAGTGCTCCCACCGCAGCGAGGGTGGGCGACTCAGACCCAGGATCCTAACCCCCTCTCCCCCCTTTCCTCAGGTGCCTCTGGGCAAAGTATGTGGGCGAGTTTCTTCAAAACCGCGTAAGTATCTAGTGTGCCTTCTCTACCCACGCATGCCTCCTTTCACCCTCTTATTTTATTTTAAGAAGGAGGGCTACACGCATTGTGGTCTTGCTGTTCAAGAAACCTAGATGGTCTTTCTCGGAGAATGTGGTTGTGGAGCTGAGGCAGGCGACCGTGAGTTGGTGTGTGGGTGTGTGGGTGGGTGGAGGGGTCTGTGCGTGTGAGGTGGGGGACCTGTTGACCCCAGAAGGTGCCACAGGTCCCACCAAGCCCAGGCGTGACCGAGAATGACGTAAAATGTCGGGAGGCCCAGACTGATCTGAAGGGCCAGGAAGAAGCCATCAGGAGCTTGCATGTAGAGGGCAAAAACGGAAAGAAAATAGCCGGGACCTTCACGTGGAGGGTCGTTTTGAGTTAGAACCAGCACCCATCAGCCTAATTCTTTGGTGGGGAGGATGCTGCGCCATGGGCTCCTGTCCTCCTCTCCCCCTGCCCCACATGAAGTGTCTTGTGACTGTCACATCCCTTCTGCCACCGTCAAAGGAGATGCAGGATCACAACCCTTGGAAGTTCTTTCCACAATAGCTTGTCTACTGAGGGTGTGCTGTGCATGGAGTCCCCCCCACCCACCCCTCCCAGGGGCAGGTGCACCCTCCCAGGGGCAGGTGCAAAAGGAACCGTCACCCCCCCCCTCTCTCAAGCCCTAGGGGCTCGCTGGCAGCTGTGCATGGTGGGGAAACATAAATCCATTCTTTAAATTCATGCCCCCTTCCTCCCTTTTTTCCTCCTTCGCAGAAAAAACTGCGAAACCGCCGGCTAGACGAGGTCTCCACCTTCATTCAGCTTACACAGATGCTTCCTGAAACCCGCCAGCCGGACACTTCTTCCACGGTTTGCCAGCCTGGCCCTGCTTCCGAGAGCGCACCCCCTTGCTCCTGAGAAGGGTGCCCCTCTGCCGTTGGCACGCTGCTGAGTCTCGCGTCGCTCTGGGCGGCTTTTCCAGGAGACGCGGAGCCTGAGACGGAGTCTTAAGGGCTTCCTGTTTCTCTTCTCGCCCTACCTGCCTACCTCAAAGCCTCCTTCGTTCTGACCCCTTGCAGGCATCAGGGAATTCAGAAGAACCTGTTATGGCTTGGTTATCGTGTTCTCTTTTTGCACAAGGATGTGCAGTGTTTGTACCGACGACGACGGACCTCCGTCGCCTCCCTGATCCTTTGTGCGCCCCGTATCGTTTTGTATGAAAATAAGTTCAGTTCTCTTCCACACTCAGCATGAGAGCCACCCTTGAAAGAGAAAGTTGCTGATCTTCGTTAGACTCCCCCCCCCGCCCTAATATTTCCCAGGACTGCCAATCTGCGCGAATCAGAAAAAAGTTCATGTCAGCTAATCTTTTCGTTTCAAGTCTGTTGGGATTTCTTCTGATGTTGTCTTCTCCCATTTATGGGTTTCTCAACTTGAGACCAAAAGCCCGCTCAGTTTGGTCAGAAGTGTCTTAAAAAAAAAGGCATTGGGAACTCCTCCCCCCTCCCCGAGTTGAGTTTGTATTTTACAACTTGAAAATGAGTCTGAAGTTTCTTGTAAATGCGGGCATATTTTTGTTAGCACTTTTTCAATGCTTCTGATAGAGTTAACATGAAACAGGCATATTTTCGTGTTGCAGAATGCCAAGATGTTTGTAATACGTTTCTTAGTATTAAATGCAAGATTTCCTTGGTTTGTACTTTTTAAAGTTACGGTTACTGAACCATGGAGTCATGAAACATGAGGGTACATTTCTAGAGGTTACCACAAAACCACGACTGAGGGCTTGGGCTTCCTCTCTGGAGCTGAATCTTACGACTAGCCTTATGCTTATGGGGATTAATCTAACTTCTTCCCTACATGCTCCTTTGTGCCATAAATATTCAGGAAGAGGCTGGGCAGAACAGGCCCTACTGCTTGCTTTTACCTCCAGCAGAATACGGAGTGGAGAGTATGTAGATATCTGTAGTCTTCTTATGTGGGAGTTCGAGGGGGAGGTTGGGGAACGGGCACGTAGGCACAAAGTCAGAGCAGTCCTGGTTGAATCGAGTCCCTGTATTTTTGTATTTATGCAAGGATCTTTGCTAA